GGTCACCGGGCGTGGCGGCGCACACCTTTAATCCCAGCACTTGGGAGGCAGAGGCAGGTGGATCTCCGAGTTCAAGGCCAGCCTGGTCTACATAGTGAGTTCCAGGACAGCTGGGGCCATAAGGAGACCTTGTCTCAAAAAGACGAAAAAAACAAAACAAAACAAAAAATCAAAACCAAAACCAAAACCCAAACAGTCTATGGATGGCCAAGTTCTTTTTTCTCCTCCCTCCTTCTCTTCCTCTTTCTTCAATGCGATCAAATTTAGGACCCTGCACATGATAGGCAGGTGATCTACCACTGAGCTACATCCCTAGCCTTATGAATTACTGAATTTAATTAATGTAGGTGTGTATGCATATATGTATATATGCATGCGTATCATTAGAGACAGGGTCTCATGCAACCCAGGCTGGTCTCAAGCTCTCTATGTAGTTGAAGGTGACCTTGGATTTATGATTTTGTTTCCACCTCCCAAGTGTTGGAATTACAGGTGTGTGCCAACACACTTGGTTTTATGAGGTGCTAGGGATGGAACCCAAGGTTTCATGAATGCTAGGCGGGCATTCTATCAACTAAGCTACATCTCCAGCCCCTCCTGTAATTTTTAATAGTGCCTGGATCTATAAGCACAGCAACATAGTTCATGGAAATGATCTATAGGCTCAATCTGCTTTGCCAGAGGATCTTACCATGTAGCTCAGCCTAACCTAGAGCTCATTATGCAGTCCAGGCTGCCCTTGAACCTCTTGATACTCTTTCTTTGGTTTCTCAAGTGCTAGGATTCTCCCCTCCCATTTACCGATTCCTTTTTATACCCAAATCCCATAGTTAACAACTTTTGAGGAACTTATGGTCTTGCTTATTTGTGATATCACAACACATGTAGCTGAACTATTGCTTTTTTAATTCTCAAGAAACCTTTAGAACATTGGTTATTTCCTTAAAGCATGACAAGATGAAGCCCTGTGTCATGACATATGCCTGTAATCCCTGTTACTTAAGATGCAGAAGCAGGAAGATGGCAAGTTCAAGATCAGCCTGGGCTACACAGCAAGACTTTGTCTAGAAACAAAACAAAATACTTCAAAGTAAGCAAAAAGAAAATGAAGATTCATGAAATATATCTAAATCCCTTCAATGACAATTTTTTAAATAGAAAAATTTCTTAGCAAAAGAATACAGACATGTATTTCAATATTTTCTCATGTAAGATTTGCAGTTGTGTTTACTTGGTATCATTATAAAGTGGTCAACACCTTTTTTCATTTTCTTTCAGTAACTATAACAATGGTATATGCAGGTTGTATCAAAGCTAGTAACAGAAAAAAGATTATTTAAAAATGAAGAATACTGGAGTCTAGACCACACTCCTAAACACCAAACCTCTATAGCACTGCTAACTTGACATCTGCATTTTAACACACATCTACAAACCAACAGGTTTAACTAAATGCAGAGGCTAGCAAGATACTCAGCGGAAAAGTGCTTGACACCAAGTCTGATGACCTGAGTTTGGTCCCTGGAACCTGCATGGTGGAAGGAGAAATCAACTCCCACAAGTGGTCATCTGACTTTCACATATGTGCCATGGCATGCGTGAGCCCTTCTTTTCCAAAACAAATAAATTTAATAATAATTTTAAAAAATACAGGATTGGTTGGTGTGGTAGTCCCAGCACTAGGGAAACTCATACAAAAAGATCTTTCAGGGACTGGAGAGATGGCTCAGTGGTTAAGAACACTGGTTGTCCTTGCAGAAGACCTGGGTTTGAATGCCAGCACCCACATGGCAGCTAACAACTGTCCGTAACTCTAGTTCCTGGGTATCTGACAGTCTCTTCTGTCCTCTGTGGGCATTGTGCAACACGGATGCACTTACCTACACGTAGGCAATACACGCATACACATAAAATAAAAATAATAAATAAAAAAATTTTTTTTAAAAAGATCTTGGGGCTGGAGAGATGCTCAGTGGTTAAGGACACTGGTTGTTCTTGCAGAAGACCCAGGTTCAAATCCCAGCACCCACATGGCAGCTAACAACTGTTCTTAACTCCAGTCCCAGGGGATCTGACAACCTCTTCTGACCTCTGTGGGCATTGCACCACATGGGTGCACTTACTTACATGCAGACAATACACGCATACACATAAAATAAAAAAATTAAATTAAATCAGCCAGGCGTGGTGGCTCATGCCTTTAATCCCAACACTTAGGAGGCAGAGGCAGGCAGATCTCTGTGAGTTCAAGGCCAGCCTGGTCTACATAGTGAGTTTCAGGACAGCTGGGGCTACAGGGAGACCCTGTCTCAAAAAGACCAAAAAAAAAAAAAAATTAAATTAAAAAAAAAAAAGATCTTTCATTCAAAGTTAGCCTGGTTCATATACCAAATTTCAGGCCACCCTGGGCTACACAGGGAGTTCCAGGCCAGCCAGGGCTATGTAGTGAGACCCTGATTCAAAACAAAACAAAACAAAAAACAGGGGCTGGAGAGATGGCTCAGCAGTTAAGAACACTGACTGTTCTTGCAGAAGACCCAGTTCGAATCTCAGCAACATATGGTGGCTAACAACCATCTGTAACTCTAGTTCTAGGGGATCCGACAATCTCTTCTGTCCTCCTTGGGCATTGCATGACACGGGTGCACTCACCTACATGCAGGCATAACACTCATACACATAAAATAAAAATAATAAATAAAATATTTAAAACAAAACAAAATGACAAAGTACAAGAAAGGAGATATCTGTCTCACATGTCATAAATTTTGATAATAAAATTCCAGCTTTACATTTTATTTGGATTTAAATTAAAAAAATATGGTTAATACACACAAATAAAGATGTCCAGAAGTCAAGAAACAAGAAACTTACAAAGATTCTAGAAATGCATGCTATGATGCCTAACAGAAATACTCTTCCATGCTTATTTTTATAATCTATGGCTGCCCATCATAGGTCTTCCTACCTCAATTTGTGATTTCTCAAACTGCCTGACCACAACTATGTTATATGACTGACTGCTTTCTATTTCTTTGTGTTTAATTCCACTGAAACTATACTATGAAACTATGATGATATACATGCCTATGTGTGGAGACCAGAGGTCTGTAACAGGTGCTATTCCTCAGTTGTTATCCACTCTTTTGCTTGAGATGGGATCTCTTATTGAACCTGGAGCTTGCCAACTGGCTAGACTAGCTGGCCAGTGAGTCCCTGGGGCTCTTCTGTCACTGCCTTTCAGTGCTGATATTACTGGTATGTGCTACTAGACCCAGTTTTTTATGTCTGTGCTGGGGAATCTGAAGTCTAGTCCTCATGCTTGCACAGAAAGCACTTTATCTACTGAGCCATCTTCCCAACCCTAATTTTTATAATGAAATCAACATGTCAAATTTAGTTTCACAAGCTGGGGAATTTTTAAAATAATGACCTAAGTTTGCCATAAGTATTACCATTTATCATTGTTATTTTTTTCCTTAAAACAGGTCACAGGCTTATTATCATATTTATTTATTTTTATTTTGTGTAAAAGTGTTTTGCTGGCATGTGTACAATGCCTATGGAGGTCAGAGAGGGTGTTGGATCACCTGGAAATGGAGTTAGTCACTGTGTGCATGCTGGGAACCAAATCCAGGTCCTCTGCAAGAGCAGCCAGTGCTCTTAACTGCTTAGCTATCTCTCCAGTTCCTATTTATTTTTGGTCTTTTTGAGACAGGGTTTTCCTGTAGTCCCAGCTGTCCTGAAACTGGCTATGTAGACCAGGCTGGCCTTGAACTCACAGAGATCCACCTGCCTCCCAAATGCTGGGATTAAAGGTATGTACCACCACACCCTATTTTTATTTCATGTGTATGAGTGTTTTACCTGCACGTATGTAAATATACCACATGGGTGTAAAGCCCACAGAGGCCAGAAGAGGGCATTAGATTTTCCTGGAACTGGAGTTATGGCCTGTTGTTAGTCATCACTGGGTGCTGGGAACTGAACTCAGGTCCTCTGCAACAGTAGTCAGTGCTCCAGTCCCTTATTGGTATACTTTTATTTTATGTATCTACAGATCATGTATCTACGGAACTTGAGTCTTACACAGTTTCAACCTTAAAAATAAAAGCCCAGGTATACAAAGATAGTCTGCAGGTTCATATTTCTAAGAATACCATTTAACAACAAAGGCTTTAAATGAGCATATTTACTTATATTTTAAAATTCTTACAAGTATCTGTAACACAGTTTAGAACCTTAGCAAAAGTAAAATATTTCCCAGGCTTCATAGTTTTCAGAAAGTGCACATTAACTAACAGAAGAGCCCTCAGGTTCTCCTACAGGTATAAGACTTCTGTTTGTTTTTTAAGTTTTTACCTCTGTGTATACATGTATTGCCTGCATGAGTTTAAGTGTACCCATGTTATGCAATGTCCTTGGAGGAGAGAAGAGGGTGTTGGATCCCTGGGAACTGGAGTTATGGTTGTTAGCCACCATGTGGTTCCTGGGATTTGAACCCAGGTCTTCTGCAAGAATAGCCAGTGCTCTTAACCAATGAGCCATCTCTCCAACCCCTTGTTTTTTTTGAGACAGAGTCTCCCTGTATCCCCAGCTGGCCTGGAACGTGCTATATAGAACAGGCTGACCTTGATCTCACCGTGATCTGCCTGTGCCTGTGCCTGCCTCTGCCTCCCAGTGCTTGGGATTAAAGGCATGCACCACCATGCCTGACACATTTTATTTTATACAAAATACTTATGAACTTGGTTGTCTGAATACGAAAAACTGGTGGAGGTGGGTATGTTACCAACCAACCTGACTACAAGATTAGGTGATGGAAAAGGCACAAGAAACAGACATAGCTTTGAAAAATACCAAACTAGTGTCATTTAGTGAACTGGTAAACATTCTTCAATATTTGCTAGAGATAGCAATATGTATGGGTCCAATACAATAGGTAAATGATGTCTATTCTTAGAAAAACATGAATAATATTAACTATATTGCCTAAGAAGTACAGCAATATATATTTTAGAACTATTTTTATTTAAAATGGTTAAAATAAGTTTTAGAACTTAAAAGATTCTGATTATGTTTTTACTCCATTTGTGTGGCTATTTCAATTGTTCTCTATGAAGTGAGGCAGAACATGGCACTTCCAGTTGTATACTTCATTAGAAGTGCACAGTAAACTTAAAAGTCACCATCAGCTCCCTTATTTTCTAGGTTATATTCATCCAAAGTCCCCTTTTCCCTTGTACTTGAGTATGTCACAAAATCGTGAACTTTTCCTTTTAGAACTACCAGTTCGTTCTGCATCTTTAATATGCTGTTATCGTACTGGAGCCCCTCCAGGGCTTTCTGCATCTCCATTATTTCCGACACTGCTCTCAGCATATCGTCTTCCATATTAAACATCTGCATAGTCAGGTCTTCCATCTTCTTTTCTGCTCCCATCAGATCCTGAGAAACTCTGAGAACAGAGTGAATTGCATTTTCAATTGTTGGCAAATGCGCCTTGCATTCTTCAACTTTGGGTTCATAGTCGGAAAGTTTGGTTGTCAGATCTTCCTCTCCAGCCAGGAGAGCGCGCTGCTCCTCTTCTAGCTTCTCAACTGCTTTTGAATTGGAGCTCAGCAGTTCCTCTACTCGCAGAAGATCTTCCTCTTCTTGCCTTTTCACTGTCCTGACATTTCGTAGTGTGCTGTCTTCCAAATCTTTTAGCCGCTCAGCAAGCAATTTCATTTCCTGTTCCACTGAGTTAATTTGGACAGTAACTTCAGAATGTATGTGCTTTGCTTCGGATTTGAAAACAACCGTATTATCATTCATCTCTGCTAGGGCTCTCTTCCAGAAATCTGTGATGTTCTGGAATCTCTCATTTAGGTTTTGCATCTTGTGAGTGATCACCTCTTCACTATTCTGAATGTCACGCATGAATCTTTGAAGGCCAGATACTTCCTGTTCAAACTGGGTCATCAAAGACATGGATGACGTAGCTTCCTGCAGGATACTTTCAGTAGTCTCAAGCTGCATTTACGACACAAAACAATCCCCAAGTCTCCTTAGTAACTTCAATATTAGAGAAACATACTGTAGCAATCAGGAGCATAACATATATGCTGTTCAAATTCTGAAGACAACTAAAATAGAATCTAAGTACAGAATCATCCTGACAAGTACACTTATTACTTTAATAAGCCTTTAAACAAATTTAATAGATTATTGGCCCCATGTCAGAAAAATGTGTATCTGAATAATTTTTTGTATATCTGAATTTATAATCCTAGATTCTTTTTCTTAAAATATTTTATTTATTATTTTTTATTTTTATGTGTATGCGTGTATTGCCTGCATGTACGTAAGTACACCCGTGTTGTGCAATGCCCACGAAGACAGAAGAGGCTGTCGGATCCCCTGGAACTGGAGTTACGACAGTTGTTAGCTGCCATGTGGGTGCTGGGATTCAAACCCGGGTCTTCTGCAAGAACAACCAGTGCTCTTAACCGCTGAGCCATCTCTCCAGCCCCCAATCCTAGATTCTTTAATGTCTTTTTTTATATGAAGACACATGCAAAAGAAACATCATGTTAAAGAGATGTGAAGTACGTCACATTTTCTTTTATGACATTTTCTTTTTTCATGCCAACGGCAAGTATCCTAGGTATCATTTTTATGGCTATTTGGCTTTTAAGAAACTGCAGCAGTGCTGGGTGTGGTGGCAGCACTCGAGAGGCAGAGGCAGGCAGATCTCAGTGAGTTCCAGGCCAGCTGGGGCTACAGGGAGACACTGTCTCAAAAAGTTGAAAAAAAAAAAGAAAAAAAAAGAAACTGCAACAGTGTAAAATTTGTTACCACTCCTAAATCCTATGATTCTAGAAGTTTATGGCTGAAAAATATTTTTTTAACCTTTTGCAGAGACAGCACTAGAATCAGAATGTAAAAAGACAAAAATGAAATTTTAATAAAAAACAATTGAAAAAAAAAAAACATTAAAAAAGCCGGGCGTGGTGGCGCACGCCTTTAATCCCAGCACTCGGGAGGCAGAGGCAGGCGGATCTCTGTGAGTTCAAGGCCAGCCTGGTCTGCACAGTGAGTTCCGGGACAGCTGGGGCTACAAGGAGATCCTGTCTCAAAAAAAAAAAAAAAAAAAAAAAAAAAAAAAAAAAAAAAAAAATTGAGACAAGTCAAGCCAAATGGTGAACTGTTCTATCTGCAAATCATGATATGCCACTAGGCTCTCTTAAAATGGATCTGGAATGTTTGAAAGGGCCAAGTCATGGACTTTTAGTCTATATCCTCACAGAGGAAAGCATTAGAGATTATGAGAATGCCTAGAAACGATTATTAATCTATCAAATGTTTGCAGCATTATATTGAGACACAACAGCTAACATGACACAGTTCTGGAGCTGGAGAGACGGCTCAGTGGTTAAGCGTACGTACTGCTTTTGCAGAGGACCCAGGTTTGGTTTCCAGCATCCATATCAGGAGTTTACAACTCCAGGTCCACGGTTCTGACACCCTCATGTGTGCATATACACTCATGAGCCCTCTCACACATACAGATAAATAAAATAAATAAAATCTTTAAAAAAAGGGCACAGGTCTGCCCTTCAGCAGCTTAGTTTAGTTAGGAAAAAAGCAAAATGCCTGCACCATAACAAGGCAAGACTTAGGTGGAGTCCTCACCTAGATGTCAATGATCAAGAAAAGTATTCTACAAGCACTGTATAATATTCAGTCCCTTCCTCTCTAAATCATCGTATATACTATTTGCCAGATTAAGATTTTATTTTATTTATTTATTTATTTATTTATTTATTTATTTATTATTATTTGTTTTTTTGAGACATGGTCTCCTTGCAGCCCCTTGTGGCCTGGAACTCACTATAGACCTGGCTGGCCTCGAACTCAGAGAGATTTGCCTGCCTCTGCTTCCCAAGTACTGGGATTAAAGGTATGCGCCACCATACCCACCCTCGTGCTTTTAAAATAAAGCCCATAGCCTTAGCCTAAGAGTCAGAACTCCTATAGTACCTATTATGTTATGTAGTTATCATGCATAATTCAAAAAATTCAAGCATTCATTCTTTGCCAGGCCTTGTACAAGACACTAGTTATAAAATGCCAATTTCATGAAGGAGAATGTTTTAGATTGTCAGTCTCAGATATTCTAGGGTCCTGATAGAATCTATAGAGTGTCTTCTATGAGCAAGTTTCATTTCCAGAGTTAGAGAAACAGAGATAAAAGGTGCAGTGTTTGTCCTAAAGGGGAGTATGGGAAACAAAATTCTATTAACAAAATAAACCACATGGGCTAGATGAGTGTGCTAACAGAATTAACACAGGCACAATGGATGCTTAGAGGAGAGATGAGAATTCAGGAGAGCTAAGAAGAAGGCTTAAAGTGTCCCTGAAATCTGATTCAACATACTGATTAATTGGCTGGGTGAAGATCTGAAAGCTTCTAAATTCCTTCCAGGAAGAGACCATATGGAGATCTCTCTCTCTCTCTCTCTCTCTCTCTCTCTCTCTCTCTCTCTCTTTTAAGCTCTCGAATCTCAAGAATACAAAGAAAATGTTTCTTGATGTCCATAAAAGACTTCTGGGGGGGCTGAAGAGATGGCTCAGCGGTTAAGAACACTAATTGCTCTTGCAGAGGACCGGGGATCGATTCCCAGCACCCATGTGGTGGCTATGAACTGTCCTTAATTCCAGTTCTAGGGGAATCCGAAGCCCTCTTCTGACTCCACAGCATTGCACGACACGGGTGCACTCACATACATGCAGGCAATACACTCATACACATAAAGTAAAAATAATAAAATATTAAAAAAAAAAAAAAGGCTGGGCCGGGCATGGTGGTGCACGCCTTTAATCCCAGCAGAGGCAGACGGATCTCTGTGAGTTCAAGGCCAGCCTGGTCTACATATTGAGTTCCAGGACAGATGGGGCTACAGAGAGACCCTGTCTCAAAAAAGACTGAAAAAAAAAAAACCCCAAAAAACAAAAACAAACTAAACGCTTCTGGGACCGCCTGAAAGAAGACCTACAGAAGATCCAGGTGACAGGTGACAGAGTGTACAACAGAACTGATACAAAACAAGACCACTCTGAGCCGCGTGTGGTGGTACACACCTTTAATCCCAGTACTCTGGAGGCAAAGGCAGGATCTCTGTGAAATCAAGGCCAGCCTGGTCTACACATTGAGTTCCAGGTAAGCTGTCTCAAAAACGAACACACCCCACCCCCCCAAAAACAAGAAGAAAAAAAGAGAGACCATTTTGAAATGCCTAAAAATAATTGTAGTGCACACACATAGCTATAATTAGAAGCTATAAACACCGATTCGAGGAAGTACTTGTATTATTGGTAATACTGTTAGCTTTGGTTGTTTTGTTAGTATTTTTATGAGGCAAGCATATCTTCATCTAAGATAGCTCCCATTTAAGTTACCAAAGAATCACTATAATCTGAGGGTAGTATACACCAAGGGCAAAATCCATTTTTAAAGATTTTAAACATCTCAAGCTCTAATCTGAAAAAATTTAGTGACTAAATATACCACAGTAACTAGAATTTATGGGTTGCCAATATACTCTAATAATTTTCTAGTTTTCAATGAAAAAAAGTTTTGTGTATGTGTTTGTGTGCAGGCTGGAACTTGCAATGCCACAGAGCCCAGATGTTACCCGGGGGTTGGGGACTGAACTTAGCTCCTCATGAACTTGTACAGCAAGTCCTTTGCCAATGAAGCATCTCCCCAGCTCCATTTTCTAGTTTGTTTTCTTAAGGTACTTAACAGTAGTTCAGTGGTAGAGCACTTGCCTAGCACACCCAAGGCCCTGGGTTTGATCTATAGCGCTGCAAAAATAACTGAAGATTTAATAGCTTAAATTTTTAGTGTTTGAAAACTTCAAAGGGTTTAAATTTTCTCTATCTGTATGTAGAGTACCCCCAACAACTTTAAGCAATTTGAATTTTATGTCAAAATACAACTCCTTTGCAGTTCATTTCCAGAAGTCCCTAAGTTCACCTTCCAAGGGGACCCTTTGTGATGTGTAAATGATCCTTACCTTTCATCCAGGACTTTTCCCCTCTGTGGGATTCCATACCCATCCTGCCTGTGAAGCTCTTGGGACCTTCCCTTTCACCTTAGTTCTATAACATCCTTTCCCAGTGTTACTGTTTGGTTACAAAGTATATCCTGAAGGCTCAAGTCTTAAAGGCTTAGTTAGTTGTCACCTGATGAGCTATTGGGAAGTGATTGATCTTGAGGGGTCTGACTCAATTAGTAGAATGGCATCACTGAGAGGTGGGGCCCAATTGAAGGACAGGGCCATGGGTGGTACACTCTGGACAGATACACCTGTCCCCTGCCCCTCTCTGCTTTCTGCTTCCTGGCCTCTATGAGGTAAGTAGTTTCTGTTACATACTCTCTCTGCCATGGTATTCTGTTTCAAACCTCAGGCTGAAAGAAAAGGATTCAGTTAACCTTGGACTGAAATCTCTGAACTGAGAGCCAAAGTAAATCTTTCCTCCTTTTAAAAAATAATTTTTTGTTAGTTTTTTTTAAAAAATTATTTATTCGGGCTGGGCGTGGTGGTGCACACCTTTAATCCCAGCACTCAGGAGGCAGAGGCAGGCGGATCTCTGTGTTTTTTGTTTTGTTTTGTTTTGGTTTTTTTTTTTTGGTCTTTTTGAGACAGGGTCTCCCTGTAGCCCCAGCGGTCCTGGAACTCACTATGTGGACCAGACTGGCCTTGAACTCACAGAGATCCGCCTGCCTCTGCCTCCCCAGTGCTGGGATTAAAGGCGTGTGCCACCATGCCTGGCCTTTATTTATCATTTTTATTTTATGTATATGTGTGTATTGCCTCCATGTAGGTAAATGTACCCGTGTAGGTAAGTGCACCTGCGCAAAGCCCAAGGAGGACAGAACAGGCTGTCGGATCCCCTGGGACTGGAGTTATGGACAGTTGTTAGCTGCCATGTGGGTCCTGGTATTTGAACCTGGGTCTTCTGCAAGAATAGTCAGTGTTCTTAACTGCTGAGCCATCTCTCCATCCCAAATTTTGTTTTTTGTTTTTTTTTTGGTCTTTTTGAGACAGGGTCTCCCTGTAGCCCCAGCTGTCCTGGAACTCAGTATGTAGACCAGGCTGGCCTTAAACTCACAGAGATCCACCTGCCTCTGCCTCCTGAGTGCTGGGATTAAAGGCGTGCGCCACCACACGTGGCAGTATTCTAATTTTTAAAATATATTTTAAATGGTTTATTCTGTGTGTGTGTGTATGTATGTATGTGGGTGCACACGTGGAGGTCAGAGGATAACTTTCAGGAGTTGGTTCACTCCTTTCACTATTTGTGTACTGGGGATCAAACACAGGTCATCAGGCTTGGCAGTAAGCACTTCTGCTCACTGAGATGCCGGCCAGCCCCATATTCTAATCTTGTACCTAACAATCAATCAAACTCTCATGCTTTCTGCATACTAACTTGGATCAGAAGGAGAATGTCAAGTAGGAAGACCAGTTGGAGTTAAAACCCTGATAGTTTATAGGCAAGTAGAAAGAAACGCTAACCTGGTATAGAAGAATTGTAGTGCAGAAGAGATGGGAAGTTGCCCCTAAAAGTAAGTTAATGAATTACCTTTTCTGAAATTGAGTTGATTTTACTTTGAAGTCCTTGGAACTCATTGCTTTCTATTTGCAGTAACTGGTATTGGTGTTCCACCTTTGCAAACTTTTCTGATTGTTGAAATATAAGCCTGAAAAAAAGAAAACAACCAATATTGCTCACTTCTGATAAGAATAGGTACATTCTAATAGTGCTTGCTGCAATTTTTGTCAGTTGATGTCAACATTCAGATGGCCTACTGTATGGGAAAACACTGGTTTAACTCAATGCAAAGATAAGTAATTACTGCCTTTGTTTATGGTTCATAGCCCAGTGAGTAAGGTCAAGGACTCTCTAATAGATGTATGCACAAGACATACTTTGGAAGTCAGAGTTGAACTACTTAGAATAAAAACTTCATTCTCATCTGGAGATATAGTTCAGTGGTAGAATGTTTGCCTAGTACACACAAAGCCCTAGGTTCTATCCCTAATGAGAGAGAGAGAGAGAGAGAGAGAGAGAGAGAGAGAGAGAGAGAGAGGAGGCACGGGATGTACATTTGTAATCCCATTATTTGGGGAAGTGTTTTAAGTCCAAGGTCACCCTCCATTACATAGCGAGTTGGAGATCAGGTGGGGTACATGGGACCCTATCTCAAAAAAATTAGGAAAGGACAAGAATCCAGAAGTCATTGTTAGTGGCAGAATACATATGCAAAGCAGAGTGTATAAACTCCCCATTTGGTTATACTCAACAATATGGCTCATAGGTACACTGTTTCCCAGTGGACAGTTTGGCCCCTGGTAGTCAGATGAAGTCCACATGATGCCTTTTTTTTTTTGAATCATGAATATTTTATTCCTCTAAGTACACTTATAAATCTAATTGAATTTTAAAACCTAAACAATTAAAAATACAAACACAATTACTCAAGCCATTTAAGCTCAAAGAGAATACAACGAACTTTGATAGAATCATGTTTTTTTCTAACTTTTTTAAATCATTATTTAAAAAAATTTTAATAACTACATGATTAGAAGCATTTCATTACAGCTTTAACATATTCAGCAACACACTTCAGAGCAAGAGCACATCTCTTTCACAAGTGGCTGTAAGTTTCTAGGTTCACAGTTGAATTAATAGTTATACAATATTGAACTCAGTATAAGCCCTGTAAGACATAAAATTGAATGAGTTTTTAACCTTTAAAAAAATCTCCATTTCACTTTAGAATATATTGTTCCTTGAAGAAAGACTCATTGTTTTTGCTACTAACACTGAGATGTTGGCGCATGCATCTCTAATCTGTATGCATCTGATTATTAGTAGTCATAGT